GGCGTACCGCGGCCAGGGCCAGAAGGTGCAGAAAGTGATGGTGCAGCCCATCAACCTCATTTTCAGATACTTGCAAAACAGGTCTCGGATTCAGGTCTGGCTGTATGAGCAAGTGAATATGCGGATAGAAGGTTGTATTATTGGCTTTGATGAATACATGAACCTCGTATTAGATGATGCAGAAGAGATTCACTCTAAAACAAAGTCAAGGAAACAATTGGGTCGGATCATGCTGAAAGGAGATAATATTACTCTGCTCCAAAGTGTTTCCAACTAGAGACCGTCAGGCGCTTGAGAAGTTGAAGAGGAAGTGCAGTGTTTTTAAAAGTGTCTTCTGTTGGGAGCATAGTCCAAAACATTTATTCCTGTTGTTTTAGTGGTCCTTATGTTATTATCAGGTGACAATAAATGCTGTGAGATTGTTTTTATTAAAAAAAAAAAGAGTAGGAGAGAGAGGAGGGACCGTTAGCCTCTGTGTTAGTTCAGACACCCTTGAACTCACCCAGGAGTGATGGTTAAGAGCCACAGCGGCAATCTAACCCTGCAGTGTGGCTTTGTTATCAGGATGATAAGAAGGTTGGAATCATGTTGGGGAGGTCCAAGCAGTTGTTCACTGTCCCAACACGCAGTCTGTACTCAGCAAACGTAATTGCGGCCAGGCCTAGTGGCATGCGCTTTTAATTACAGCACTGGGGGCAGAGGCAGGTGGGTCTCTGTGATTTCGAGGCCAGCCTGGTCTACATAGTTTAAGGCCAGCCGGAGCTACTCGAAGAGATCCTATTTCAAAAGTCTAAATAAATAAAATATAACATGTCAGAGGATGCCAGCTCCCTTTATTTCTCTTTTTTTTAATATTTATTTATTATGTATACAATATTCTGTCTACATGTATGCCTGCAGGCCAGAAGAGGGCACCAGACCTCATTACAGATGGTTGTGAGCCACCATGTGGTTGCTGGGAATTGAACTCAGGACCTTTGGAAGAGCAGGCAATGCTCTTAACCGCTGAGCCATCTCTCCAGCCCATTTTTTTTTTTGGTTTTTTGAGACAGGGTTTCTCTGTGGCTTTGGAGCCTGTCCTGGAACTAGCTCTTGTAGACCAGGCTGGTCTCGAACTCACAGAGATCCGCCTGCCTCTGCCTCCCGAGTGCTGGGATTAAAGGCGTGCGCCACCACCGCCCGGCTATTTCTCTTTTTTAATTATTTATTTTTTACTTCATGTGCATTGGTATTCTGCGAGGGTGTCAGATGCCCTGGAGGTAGAGTTACAGGCAGTTTAAGCTGGGAATTGAACTCAGGTCCTCTGGAGTAACTTCCAGTGCTCTTAACTGAGCCACCTCTCCAACCCCTCCCAGCTTGTATTTCTTACTCTGAATGTGGGGGACACAGATGAAAGAAACCACCTCTATAATCAATAGGGAAGGGCATTTATTAGTGAAACTGTCTCTCAGCCTGAGTGACGCTGGGACACCTAAGTAAGGACATTTCTGCCTGACGACAGTTTATGACAAGTGAGAATGTTAAATATATTGTTTTTTTTTAATTTTTTAAATATTTATTTATTTATTATGTATACAACATTCCTTCCATGCCTGCTTGCATGCCAGAAGAGGGCACCAGATCTCATTATAGATGGTTGTGAGCTACCATGTGGTTGCTGGGAATTGAACTCAGGACCTTTGGAAGAGCAGACAATGCTCTTAACCTCTGAGCCATCTCTCCAGCCCCTGTTAAATATATTGTTACTGTCAGGTCCCAAAGAAACCTGGGACAAAAGGCTGTGGTGCCCAGTAGCGTAGCAAAGTGCACGCTGGCTGCCAGGCTTGCTCAACACCTGTGGCTCCTCTCTGCCGCTCTCACCCGCCTCCCACCCTACACCTTCCCAGCTCAGGGGCTTCCCTTCCCGCAGCCTCTCTTTCCTATATAACCCTGTCATTTCTGTGACACGCTCTTTCCCCTCTTGGATCTCTCTTTGATCTCTTGTCTCCCTCTCTCTTTTTCTCTCGCTCCCCCCCCCCCCCTCACCTCTCATGACCTCGTTTAGTCTACTAGCCATATTTAGTCTACTTCTTTCTCTCCCTGCTCTGGGACTCTTTCGGAAGCCTCTGACTGTACACACCCTCATATCTACAGTAAACCCTCTCCTCAGCCATCACTTGGAGCAGGTATGTCCTCATTTTCACTCAGTTACATCTTTGGATTTTCCAGAGAAGCAGGGAATTCAGATGTGAATCTTGTGAGATTCTCTCACTGTGTTGCCCATACTGATCTCAAACTTGTAGACTCAAGTGGTCATCCTGCCTCAGTTTCCTGATCTGGCTGAGACTACCTGTGCAAACACTACACCTGGCTTTTTTGTTTTGTTTTGTTTTTGTTTTTCGAGACAGGGTTTCTCTGTAGCTTTGGGGCCTGTCCCAGAACTAGCTCTGGCTGGCCTCGAACTCACGGGGATCCACCTGCCTCTGCCTCCCAAATGCTGTAATTAAAGGTGTGTGCCACCACCGCCCGGCTTACACCTGACTTTTATGTACTGATTGTTAAATACAGCAATTAACAGCAATTAACGCAGCTAAAACAGAAAGCAAACAAACAAAAGCTCCGCTGGACTAATTAAACCTCCGCACCTCCAGCAGCTGCTCTCGGGTTTCTCCTTGCCCCAGGGCTGGGCCCAGTTATCTGAGCCTGTTCAACAAATTGAGCACACGCTACAGTTGTGGGCTCTGGGGACACAGCAGTAAACACAAAGGCAAAGCCCTGCCCAAGCAGAGTTGACATCAGCATGCACGTATGAGGACAGGTAGAAAGAGAAGCAAAGTTTAAGTTTCCTGTCACAGGATATGAGGAACAAGAGTTATGGGACCAAGGTGGGCAAGGGTCTGGTTGTGTGGGAGGAGTTAAGGGGAACTATAACCAGAGAAAGCTAGGGGAGTCTCTGGTCACACATGCACACACATGCACACGCATGCACACACACATGCACACACACTCACACACAAACACAGTCTGTTATGGGTCTGGATTTTTTCAGAGATTCACCAGTCTTTTATATTTGTTGTTGTTGAGGGTTTTGTTTTGTTTTGTGACAGGGTTTCTCTGTGTAACAGCCCTACCTGCCCTGGGACTTGCTTTGTAGACCAACCTGGCCTTGGTCTCAGAGAGAGCCGCCTGCCTCTGCTGGGATCAAAGGTGTGCGCCACAACCGCCCAGATGTTTGTGTTTTAAACAAATAAAAGACTTTAATAAAAATTACTGGCCAGGACCACAGCAGAGACTGGGAATTTTCTGCTTATGGTCCAGATCAGATAGTAGCACAGAGTTTATATGGGAAAACCCACAAAGTTGCAGCATTTTTGAGGGGTGGGGTCAGGGTTAGAACATAAGCTCACATCCTGCCTTTGTGTGAGCAGTGCCTAATTTTATAACACACCCCACAGATGCCTCAGTTATCTCCAGCAAGCAAGCAGTGGTGAGTTGCCAGGACCCATTGTCTTGCAAGAACAAGAGAGGCAGTTTCTTAATATCAGCTCGGCTTTTCTGGGAAGTCATCACCTCTGGGGCAGGACTGAAGTCCAGGCCCCTTTCCCCAACTAGCAGCTTACAAGCTGAAGCGGGTCTCTCGTGGATGCTGTAAGAACGGCAGTCTTGAAATGTTGAACATGTTATTCACCCATCACAAGTCAGTATTTATTCTTTGGTGTTTTAACACTGGGATCTCACTGTGGAGCCTAGATTGGCCTTAAATTACGGTGATCCTCCTGTCTCAGCACCCCACACAGGGCTTGGAGCTTTTTATTTATTTGGTTAGTTACAGTTTGAGCTGGGCCCTACCTACCGTGCAGCCCAGGCTGACCTTGAACTCAGCTCTTTATTCCCCTACCTCAGCCTTCTAAGGGCTGGAGACCACAGGTGTGTGTCACCCAGCCTGGCGACTATTAAGCTTCTTGAGGGGGTGGAAAGTTCAACTCCTCACACCTAGGCTGACTTACAGATGCGGTCTTACACATTTTATCTCACATCTCACGTACTGATTGCCTTGTCTATAAAACCGGGACGATTCAGTCCCCCCCCCCCCCCCCCCCCCCCCCCCCCCCCCCGGGACTGTGGTGGGGAAATTGTGAGACACAAACCTGGGACCTGGGAAGCCATTGTGTCGTTTTGAAACCAGGGTCTCACTAGCCCTGACTGGCCTGGAACTATGGGGACCAGGCAGACTACGAACTTGCTGATCTTCCTGATTCTGCCTCCTGAGCAATAGAATTCCAGGCATTCGAAACTACTTCTGGCTTCCTAGGTTTTTGGAAGGTTTGCCCAGCTGTGAATTGGGTACCTTACCCCGGGATGCAGAGAATTATGCTTGCCCACGTTGGCCAGGGAACCTACACAGCAGTTTCTGCTGCCACCCAGGGCCTCGGTTTCCTCCTATAAGGAGATAGAACTGGAAGGGGGGAGGGTAAGGGGGACCGGTAGGGGTAGAGGGTAGTGGGACAGAGGGTAGTGGAGGCACGGGGAGGAGGGGGGCGTGGAACCACGTAGCACAGGCTAGTCTTGCCTGGCCTTAAATTAAGGCTAGTTAGCGTCTGCTCTTATTGCTGGACCCGGCCTGCCCACCCAACCCTTGCTCCCACCTCCTAGTCACCAACTCAGGCACAGCAGCCCCAGCCCAGGGTGAGTCCAAACAAAGGCTGGTCTCAGGGGACCCGCCGCGGCCCAATCTGAGATCAGCTTAACTGGGCGGCTGTCAGAGCCTTTGGAGAGAGAGCACGGCCAGATATCCGGAGACCCTCGCCGGCCTCTGAGCTCCCCCAAAAGCTGATCTTGCGCGATCCCACTAGACACGGGGAGAGGGGTGTCATCAGTCACCTCCTTGCTTCCGTACCCCCTCCCCATTCTTTTCCCAGACTGTGGGAGGCAAAGGGTTAAATCCCATAGAGCTGATGTTCTGACTCCAGGCTAGAGGGGCCCGGGAAGCTGGGGTCACTTCCTGCTCCGTCCCAGTCACCCTGAACTGGTCCCCGGGTCCTCAGCCTGGAATCACCCCTTGAGAAGGACCCTAGAGTGCTCGGCATCCAGCCTGTCCCCCGAGGCAGGGCACTTAAGGGGTTAAGTCCCCTGGGGCTGGACTCTGTCTTCCGGCTTTTCCCAGACCCCAGAGCCGTGAGTTGGGGCCGCCTGGGTTCCCGGGGTGGCCTGGAGGCCCGGGACAGCCGCCGGGGAACAATAGGGCCAAGGAGGCGGCGACTGGTGCGGGGCGCAGGCCGGGCCCGGGGCGGCGGGGGCGGCGGCCGGGGGATGGTGGGAACTGCGCCAGGGCCGCCGTGGGGGAGGGGAGGCGTGCGCGCCCGGAGAGGGAGTCCGGCCGGGGACGGCGAGGCGGCGGCAGCTCGCCGGGAACCGGGAAGCCTGGGCGTCCGCGGCGGGGAGGGGACGCTGGCGGCTCGGCCGGGCTTTCGGGGACGGGGAGGGGGTCGGCGCTCCGGGCCAGGAGCGCTCAAGTCCGGGTCCGCCTGGGTGCGGGGGGCGGTGTCGAGGGCGGTCCTGCTGCCTCCTTGTCAGGGTCACCCTGGGCCGCGCGCACCTCCGCGGGAAGGCGGCTGCCTCGGGCCGTCCTTCCCGCCTCGGTCCTCGGGGGGCCCTCCCGGGCCGGAGGCTGGCGCTCTCGGGCCCGGGCTGCTTCCCAGTAGTTCTCACCTCCCTGTCTTTGCCACTTCTTGCATGTGGCCTTGTCATTAACCCTTTCCCTTCTAAGGTAGGCCCCTGAGCCTAAGTTTCTCAGGCAGTCCAAGTTCATCAGCTCCTACCTGTCCTCGGTCCGCTCAGCGGAGGACCTTTCTCCCCTCCGGGGAGGCGCCTCCTGTGGTCTCCATCTTCCTTCCCTAAAGACACAGACCGGAGGAGACTGTGGAGATGAAACTTATTTTCTTTCTTTCCTCTAACTTACGCTTCTGCTGCTGCTCCTTAGCAGTGGTCAGCAAGCTGTTTCTTCCTTCAGCTGCTTCACAGAGCAACTGCTCCGGGAGAGTTTTTGTCCCTGTGCACAGACTCCCCGGCTCCACTGTCACCCCAAGTCTAGGCCGGTCCAGGGCCGTTAAATGAGTAAATGTGAGTGCCCGCCTGTACTTTGCTCCGATGGCCCTGTTCTATCTCCTGGAAATCTTCGGAGATTTTGAGAGTGACAGATGATTCCTTTCCCAGGGCTCATGCTGGAGTTGCTTTTCTTTTCTGATGTCCCTTTACAAACTGATCGTTAAAGACATTGAACCAAATAGGTTTTTGGTGAGCAAAGGGTGTCTAGGTCATTCAGTCACTCAACAAAGATTTTCCTGGGCACCTTTCCTAAGCACGTGATGAAACACTGGCAGAAAGAACAGAGAAGAGGGATGGGTCCCCCGTGGGTCTTTGTGGAGAGCATTGCCTACCGCTCACACTCCGGCCAGTAGCCCACAAGTTTGAGTCCCTTATGACTGTCAAGGTCACTCGATGTTTTCAGATCTAGGGGCAAGCCAAGCAGAACACTGCATTTGCGGTTTTAGCTCTGTTACTTCCCAGTCTGGGCCTTGGAGATGTCTCCCCCGGTGTTGCCCTACTAATCTGTAAAATGAACAGGTGACTCCCGAGTCTCCATGGCAGTGAGAGAAATAATGACACCTGGCGGACATGGCACCCTGTCCTTCTAGTGTTCTCATACTTGCCCACCTCCTTCCCTCCGCCCCACCCCCTCTTTCATCTTGTTTGAGACAAGATCTCCCGTAGCTGAGACTGACCTTGAACTTCTGATTTTCCTGTTTCTTTCCCCCAAGTATGTCACCAAGCCAGGCACCCCTTTTGCTCTCTCTTTCCCGTCCCTGACTTCAGACCCCCCCTTCCCACCCTAGGCTCAGGTGTGCTCTTTGTGTGCACCTCTTTGTGTGCTCAGGTAATGGCAAAGTGCCCTAGTCTTTGTGAGTCTCTGTCCCTTCGGGGAAACTTTTATTTTTAACCCTTTAAAAAGTGCAAGCCTTGGTTGTTCTCTGTGGGGCTCATAAAGGAAAAGTTTATTGGTCTCAATTAGCAGTCCCATAAAGGAAGAAAATTGGAGTCTTAATGAGCTTTGTCTGATTTGCAAAATAACACGGTTCCAGGCCTCTGGGCATCGGATGTGTGGGGTGAAAGCACCCCCCCCCCCATGTTGGCTAGAGCTCCAGCCTTCCATCTAGGTACAGAGGGTTATGACTGATGAGTTTTTAATTGACTCTCTTTACATTCATTGAGTTGCTTCATTGCGATCTTAAGATCTACAGTGTTTGGAACCAGGCCTCTGGGGCCACGGGGCTCAGGGAGAGAGGGTGCCAGAAACATGAGTGGCAGGTCACTGAGCGTCACAGAAGTGGGAGCACAAAGAAAAGCAGATAGCCAGGTCGCAGTGTGTGTCCATCTCTTCCACCAGAGTCCCCGGAACCTTCGCAGTCGGGAGCTCTGGGATGGAGCCTGAGACGGTGCTGTGGGGCCCAGAGCTACAGGGTCCTGAAGAGAGCCGGAACAATGCTCACGGAGGTGAGGGGCACAAGGGACTGTGACCCTGGCTCAGGGAGGGGCCCAAACTCATAGGGGAGGGAAGAGAGACCAGACCCCAAGATCTGAAAGGAGCTGGGGCTGGAGACTCCCTTTCTGTCTGTAGGTGCTGAGAGCGGCAATGAAGAAGAGGGCCCTCAGCAGGAAAGTTCTGGGGAGGAGATAATCTTGGGAGATCCGGATCAGAGTCCAGAATCCAAGGACCCACCAGAGATGCCCCTGGAGAACCCCTCCCAGGATGCCTCAGCCCCTCAGGATTCCCCAGCCCCACAGGCTTCTTCCAACCTCTTTGACCACCAGACCCCTATGGACCCATCAGCCCCTGAGGTAGTCCCTTCCCCCTCCGAGTGGACCAAGGCCTGTGAAACCAATTGGCAATGGGGAACCCTCACCACCTGGAACAGCACCCCAGTAGTCGCTGCCAGCGAACCCAGCCTACGGGAGCTGGTGCAGGGCCGCCCTTCTGGGGCCGAGAAGCCATACATCTGCAACGAGTGTGGCAAGAGCTTTAGCCAGTGGTCCAAACTGCTCCGGCACCAGCGCATCCACACGGGGGAGCGGCCCAACACGTGCTCAGAGTGTGGCAAGAGCTTCACCCAGAGCTCGCACCTGGTGCAGCACCAGCGCACGCACACGGGCGAGAAGCCCTACAAGTGCCCCGACTGTGGCAAGTGCTTCAGCTGGAGCTCCAATCTGGTCCAGCACCAGCGCACGCACACGGGCGAGAAGCCCTACAAGTGCACGGAGTGCGAGAAAGCCTTCACACAAAGCACCAACCTCATCAAGCACCAGCGGTCCCACACGGGCGAGAAGCCCTACAAGTGCGGCGAATGCCGGCGCGCTTTCTACCGCAGCTCCGACCTCATCCAGCACCAGGCCACACACACAGGCGAAAAACCCTATAAGTGCCCCGAATGTGGCAAGCGCTTCGGTCAGAACCACAACCTGCTCAAGCACCAGAAGATCCACGCAGGGGAGAAGCCATATCGCTGCACCGAGTGCGGCAAGAGCTTCATCCAGAGCTCAGAGCTGACCCAGCACCAGCGCACTCACACAGGGGAGAAGCCCTACGAGTGCCTGGAGTGTGGCAAGAGCTTTGGTCACAGCTCCACGCTCATCAAGCACCAGCGGACACACCTACGCGAGGACCCCTTCAAGTGCCCCGTCTGTGGCAAGACCTTCACGCTGAGTGCCACGCTGCTGCGCCACCAGCGCACACACACAGGTGAGCGGCCCTACAAGTGCCCTGAGTGTGGCAAGAGCTTCAGCGTCAGCTCCAACCTCATCAACCACCAGCGCATCCACCGTGGGGAGCGGCCGTACATCTGCGCCGACTGCGGCAAAAGCTTCATCATGAGCTCCACTCTCATCCGCCACCAGCGGATCCACACGGGCGAGAAACCCTATAAGTGCTCTGACTGTGGCAAGAGCTTCATTCGCAGCTCGCACCTCATCCAGCACCGCCGCACGCACACGGGCGAGAAGCCCTACAAGTGTCCCGAGTGCGGCAAGAGCTTCAGCCAGAGCTCCAACCTTATTACGCACGTCCGCACACACATGGACGAGAACCTCTTCGTATGCTCGGACTGCGGCAAAGCCTTCCTGGAGGCTCAGGAGCTGGAGCAGCACCGCGTGATCCATGAGCGAGGCAAGACACCTGCCCGGAGAGCTCAGAGTGACAGCTTGCTAGGACTTGGGGATCCTGCCCTGATGACCCCGCCACCGGGAGCCAAACCCCACAAGTGTCTGGTCTGTGGCAAGGGCTTCAATGACGAGGGCATCTTCATGCAGCACCAGCGGGTTCATATCGGAGAAAACCCCTACAAAAATGCAGACGGTCTCATAGTACACCCGACCCTCAAGCCTCCGCAGTTCCGCTCCCCTAGGCTCCCCTTTGGGGGCAATTCACATCCAGGTGCTTCGGAGGGCAGAGCTGACCCTCCAGGACAGTCCTTGAAAGTGCCTGAGGGTCAGGAGGGCTTCAGCCAAAAGCTGGGTCAGCAATCCTCTAAGTGCTATGTGTGTCCCCACTGTGGAGAAAGCTTCCTCGACAGGGCGGTGCTCCTGCAGCATCAGCTCACCCATGGCAATGAAAAGCCCTTTCTCTTTCCCGAGTGTAGGATTAGCCTTGGGGAAGGGGCAGAGTCCAGTTCCTTCCTAAGTGGGAAGCCCTTCAAATGCCCGGAATGCAAAAAAAGCTTTGGCCTGAGCTCTGAGTTGCTACAGCACCAGAAAGTCCATGCGGGCGGGAAGTCCCAGAAGAGCTCAGAGCTGGGGAAAAGCTCCTCAGTGCTGTTGGAGCATCTCAGGAGCCCCTTGGGGGCCAGACCCTACAGCTGCTCTGATTGTGGGGCCTCCTTCCTCGACCGGCTAGCTCTTACCCGCCACCAGGAAACCCACACTCAAGAAAGGGCCCCCACTCCTGAGGACCCCCCTTCAGAGTCAGTCACCTTGTCCACAAACCAGGAAGACGAGGGAGAGGCCTCTACCCCCTCAAAGAGCAGCAACCACAGGGAAGAGGACAGTCCGAAAACTCTGTCAGAGGAAAAGCGTTATCTGTGCCCTGAGTGTGGCGATGGCTTTACAGAAGTCGCAACGCTCCTCCTCCACAGGAGCTGTCACCCAGGGGTCTCCCTGTGAAGAGGTCTGGAGACCAGGGACCTCTCTCTCCTGAGAAATTTTGGGGAAAGGAAACCAACCCCATCAGATCGTAGAGAAGTGGAGGGCCAAGAACCCTGGGAAGAGATAGTGCGTTTCCGTCAGCAGTGAGAAGCCTATGAGATTGCGGGTGGGGACCACTCATAAGCCGTAGAGAAAAACTGCTGGGTTAGAAGCCCTATACATATGTAGGAAAAAAGCCCTTTAAGTCTGTAGCAGAGAAACCCTATAAACCATAGTGGGTAAAAGCCCTGTTAATTGTAGGAAGAGGTTCTAACACGTCTCTAGACAAACCCATAAAACTGTATTAAAATCCTTCTCAGAATCTTCTAGGTGGGGGAGGTGTAGGGAATACAGTCAGCACTGACTTGGGAGGTGCCCTGGATGGCGGAGGAAACACCTGGACTCTTGTAGTATTCTCTCCCGGCAGCCTTGGACAGAGGCAGTGCTCAGCGGGGAAGAGCTAGGAAGGAAGAGAAGTGGGGAGGGAATGACTTCCAGACCCACAGGTGAGACCAGACATCCATTGCACTAGAGGTTCTTTGGTGAATTGCATGTACTGGGGGAAGGAAGACTGTGGGGGTTCCTTATTAATAAGAGCCCCCCAGAAATGACAAGCCATTTTAAAGGCTGGAGTTTGGGGTGTATAACCAACCTTGAGTGTAAGACTATTGAGAAAATGTTGAGAAACCACCTCAGCTATTGGGGGAAAGTTAAGTCTGTTTGAAGGGAAGCAGAGCACGGTGGAGAAACTGCAGCTGGAAGCTAGCCAGTTCCTCCTCCTAGGAGCGTGTTAAGCTTCAAGTGCAAGCAGATCCCAGTTCAGGCCGTCAGGGTTCTCCTCAGACAGGCAGGACCAGCCTTTCCCCAGCCCAGCTGGGGATGTCTACTCTGAGAGGCCTCTGGGGTTTCAGGGGGCCTCTGCCACATTCTCAGGTCTCACAGGTTTTACCTGAAAGCTAACTGCCACAAGGTTTACTGCAGTGGCAACCCGTTTCCTCAAATTCTGTCCTCAGTGAAGAGAGCCACTCGCTGCTAGTCAACTTCCAAAGAATAAATTCCTTCAGAGGTTCAAGGCTTGTATGTGCTTGTCCTCCCTGGACTTCTACAAGTTCATGAGAGAAAGCCACTTGTGGGCTCTCTGGTGACGAGGGACGGCAAGACAACAGAACAGGCAGCTTTGACTTACCAGCAACAAGAGTCAAACCTCAGCCTTTTGTGTGAACTCTGTGTAAGGCTGCCTGCAGGGTGAGCCGGGCTGCACATGGCGGATGGACACGTGGCACAGACTGGACCAGAGTTCCCGAAGAGGCAATGGAAACTTGACCACCTTCTCAACCCCAGTACCTGGATGCCCTTGAGATGGGGTGGCAGATTTGATCCTGGCTCGGGGAAGGGACAAATTCCACCTTTGGCCTTTCTCTCCTTAGCCAGAAACCACTGGAGGGAAATTAAAGGAGGAGACATGGTCCTCTGCCAGGCCCATCTCCTCCTCAGACAGCACAGGCTAGACCATTAATCCAGCCAAGCCTGCTCACATGACTGGAGCTCCATGATGGAGCAGAGACAGTTGCCCTATAAAGTGGTTGAAGAAAACCTTTGGCGAGAAACATCTGTAACAAAGACCCTTAAGGATGGCAAGGACTCTCCCCTGTATTTTGGTTGCAAAGGGAGTGTCCTTACCCAGTGCTGGCGTTAGCGACACACTGTCCAGAGTAGGAGGTGAGACACCACATGATTGGCTCTAGGAGTCCTGTGCCCACGAGTGAGCTGGATCCCTCCAGTGCTGAGGAAGAGACATCTAATTCCATTACCTAAACTAAAAGTTCAAAAGATAGAGGCTGATCATCCTTCATCTATCCTGTGCCCAGATAGATGACCCTCAAAATTTAAAGGACCAAAATCTAGAATACTGGGAGAAAAATGCCAGTGCTCCTGGGGAGAGAGAAAGGGCAGGCCTTACACAGTTACAGAGAGCCTTGCTAGGGTCCCAAGTATCAGGTCGGGGGAAGCACCATGAGATGGGGAGGAGCCTGCCTGATAGTGACAGAAATATTGATAAAAGGGCATCCCTATAAAATGGAGTAGATACTCTCCTAAGTAGAAGCTGATTCGTCCCCCTCTAAGGTGGTAGCAGAAACTAGAGTTATCCTTTGTAAACTAGGAGCAGGCTCCCTCTGACCCAGGCCTGAGAGTCTGTCATCAGAAGACTGGGGGCAGGCGCTCAGCGTAGTCATGGCTAACTAGACTGTTGAGGACTAAGATGTAGCATGTGGGACAGGATGCTCACATGTTCTGGAGACAAGCGAGGGCTGTGATCTCCACTCCAGTACTGAACGGAGCATGTGCATAGGTGGTGCCCAGGCTTCCTAGCAGGAAAAGGGCAGAGCAGAGCCCTCATGGGCTCTGGCCACCTCCCTCTCACACCCTGCTACGCCACAGAGGAATCTGTTGCAGGGCCCGGCGTCCTTTTAGCTGGCTCAGGAAGAGGTCCGCCAGCACTGAGTATGGGAGGCATAGTGAAGCCAGCTCCATCCTGGGCCAGAGCCCTCAGAAGATCCCCTGGGAAGAGCCCAGCAGCCGTGGGCAGAGTCCAAGCATGGGAGAGGGTGGAGCTGACCTGCACTTAGGGAAAACTTAGAACTGATGATGAATGTGGGGTCAAATAAGAACTCATAAAGGAACTGGGTATGAATCACAATCGGGGAGAGGACTTGAAACCATCTGACCTCCCAGTCTGAAGTGAGCGGGTCCCAGAATCCTTTGCCCCGACAAAGGAAGCCCCGCTCCCTTGCCTTCCCCCTCTGGAGTGAGGGGAGGTCCCCATTTAGAGTGTTGTCTTTCAGTCACAGTGCTGTGTCACCAGTGGTCATGTTCAGTAGTTGGAGAGAATAAAGGGAGCAAGATTCCCCGGGTGTCTTCTCTTATTCCTTCCTACGTGTTCCGTCAACAGCAAGCTCATCAGAACTTGTCCTCTCCAGAATGAGGTCCCATGAGGACCCCATAAGTTCAGTGTTTGCTTGTGGAAGATTGACATGTTCACGGAGCTTTAAGAATCCATATCCTGAGAGGTTGAGAACACTTTGGTCAGCCGGATGGCTGCCTGGTGGCCCAGTACTGCAGCCTCCCCAGGACCTAACCTAGTCCTCAGAGCTGCCGGTTACCTCTCTGGGTTCCTTTGAATCCTGTGGCCTGTCCTCTCGGAGGTGAGTGGTCCCCTGGCTTATTGTCTGTCCCCAGGATAGCCTATAGGTTCTCCCATGGGAGAGACTGATGCTCTGGAAGTGCAGTCACCCAAGACCCACAGTATATGTCATGTGGGAAGTCAGAGTGGCCTGGAGGCCTGCAGGCCACCTCCACACCAGCCATTACTCTCCTTGGCTAAGGCAGTGGGGATGACTAAGGAAGTCCTCAGTGCCAGGTTGCCTTCAGCACTGTCTTCTGAGTCTGTTCATGGCCCCTGTGACTGCCTGTGACCAACACTAGCCACAGCCTGTCTCTGCCTCTGTTAAAGACACTTGCTGGAGACAGAAAGGCGTGGCCCTAACTTTTTTTTTAATTAAAAAGAATCTTGATGTGCATGGTGTTTTATTTGCATGTTTGAGCATCCATGCGCATGCAGTGCCTGCAAAGGCCAGAAGAGGGGGACAGATCCCCTGCAACTAGAGTTACAGATGGTTGTGAACCACCATGTGGGTGTTGGGAATTGAACCCAAGTCCTCTGAGAGAGCAGCCAGAGCTCTTACACCTGAGGCATGTCCGTAGACTTCCCTTGGGTATTATTGTGCTTCTAGCCCACATCCCAGAATAAGTTCATAAGTTTGTTCTGTCTCTCTCTCTCTCTCTCTCTCTTCCTTTCTGTTCCTGGAATTGATGGGTGGACTGGTGAGGGGGATTTGCTTTTTCATGTCCCTGGGTCCCCAGCCCTGGGAACACTAAGGAACATCAAGACTGGTCTCTGTCCTGGGAGAATCCTCAGTTGGGCAAGGGACACCAACTGATTTAAAAGCCCAAGGTCATGCCTGCCACACTTGGAGGAACTCCAGGGTACAGGGGTCTCAGGAATAGGGGATTCTCTGTATAGAAGTCAGGAGTGGAGTGGGGTTAGAGGAGTCAAACAGTTGGGGACCGACTTAGAGAAACAGTCTTAACATGTGGGTTATGACTCCTTTGGGAGTACAACAACCTATTCACAGGGGTCATTGTGACCACTGAAAAACACAGATAATTACGTCATGATTCATAACAGCAAAATTAGTTATGAAATAGCAATGAAAATAATTTTATGGTTGGGGTCACTACAGCATGAGGAAGTGTATTACAGGGTCACAGCATTAGGAAGGTGGAGAGGCAGTGCATCAGAGCATAAGGGAACGATGGAGATGCAGCCAGGGCACAGGCTAAAGCCTGAGGAAGGTCAGTGTTGCAAGAGACTGAGTCATGAGATCCCTCATGCTCTTTAAACATCGATTTTCGGGTCTGGTGCTTGGGAAAGACCTGCAGTGGTTGGGTATCAGCAGCTCACCTGTAGGCTTGGTCCTTGGTAAACACCTCACGGAAAGGCTCAGTGCCAAGGGAAGTCTGGTTATGGCTGAAGGAAGAGCTCAGAGGGCAGTGACCACGAGGCAAGCCTGGGGTAAGTTCTGGAGAGGTCCCATCACATGCTGGGGCAACCTTTACCTCCAGCTTGCCGGAAGTTGGAAGGGGGAAGAGTTCTGGCTCACCTAGCTGTGACCCCGACAACAAAGAAAGCTTATCAGCCTTTTAAGACAGATCCTGCACCCACGTGACAGACTGATAGTTCGTTTTCACTGCCCTGCTAAGGTGGAAATACTGCTCCAGGCACTGGGATCCGGGACCTTTAGCCCATTCTCTTTGAATCTGAAGTGGTTTGCTCTACTTTCTACTGTTAGAGGTTACCATCCCACGTGGAGGTTTGAGTACCTCATAGAGGACTTGCTTCTAAAGGAACGGTGTGCATGTACTTAATGAGTCCATATGGCCGCGACTTAGGATCGTGCTGGAGAGCTGGTGATGAGCTGGCGCACGGGGCTCTCGGACACTAGTTCTACTAGCTCAGGATGCTGTGGCTCTATGATGCAATACCCTGCGTTTCTCCCACCTTTCCCACCTTAACCACTGCAGTCGGGGTGGCTCTCTTGGTGGCCCAATGTCATCCCCTGCCGCGACTCGTGCTTCCGCGAGCGTTCCCATCGCTGCCACCTCCACACCAGAGGTCACCGTAGCCCGCATTTCTGTCTCCAGTCCAACTTGGTTTAGCCACTGCGACCCCACTGAAACCAGGTGGGGTCAGAAAACAGAAAGGGCCCGAAGTCCTCCCGAAGGCAAACCGGCAGAAAAGGCAGAAGAGCCGCGAGAGGGCACTACTATCGCTAAGCCTGAGGCCACTACCATGGTTATGACTGCCGCTCCCACACCCACAACCCCGCTTAGCACCGGCCACGGCGCTAGTCCCATGAAAGCTCCACCGGAGGAGCCGGCAGCGCTTTGAATCCAGAAGCAACACTCCACGTTTGGGCAAATGGGTTCCAAGGGTCCAGATAGTGGCCGGAGCAGGATACAATGAAAAATCACCGTGCAGAGGTGTCGTGGTCTGTGCGTTCACAGAGTAGGGGTGGGTAAAGACGGCAAGTAACAGACCCAAAGATTCGTTTGTCTTTGGCCAGCAAGACACCTTGCCCTGCGAGGTAAGGGACTACATCTCCCAGAATGCAACCCAAAAGCTGTTATCTGGAACGCCCAATGACCGCTAAGGGCGTGGCCAACCCTTAACCAAAGGCTTCGCCTGTGAGAGCTGGCTCGGGTTTCCCTTTGAAACAGGTCTCTGCAGATAAGCTGGCCACTGTTCTGTGGGGCCCACACAGTTGTCGGGTGGGCTGGAGCGGGTTCTCAGATGTGCCCAGCTCCCAACCCCAGATCCACATCAACCCAGGGAAATGCCAGCCAGATGTAGCACCTAGATTTACGTGTAGACCAAATGGACTGGCTACTCTGCAGCCTACGGTTGGATATTTATTCGTAACAATTAGCAGCCCATACACAACACCTCTAGAGCAGAGGCTGTGAGTCCACAAGATCCTGTAGCTCTCTGCGGCGCCGGCTCCCAGCTCTGCCGGGTCCTGTCTTCACTGTTGACTCTGTGTAGGCAGGTACCTCAGGGGGCATCTGAGTACAGGCTAGCCACAGAGCAGTAGGCCAATTCTCTACCTGGAATGACTGGAAGTGCTAGATTGTCCCTTCCCTCCTGGCCAGCTGCACCTCCACATAGGACCACCAACCAGGATGAAAGCAGGGCAAGGGCCAGGTGCTCAGGGGAGGAAGTAAGAGGGTTGGGACGTGTCTGGATGAAGAAATGGATGACCCTGAATCAGCGCTATGAGGAGGCAGTGTCCGTAACTGCGAGCGTCCCTGAATAGGGCAGGCACCCAAGGCTGCGCGTTCTTCAGCACAAAAGCTACACCAGGGTACAAGGAACTTAGCTCCACAGGAAGGCTAAAGCCCTGCCCGGGCCTGGAGCCACCTAGGTGAAGAAAGGCTCCTGGGCTCTGGGCCCCGATGCCAAGCAAAGGGTCCCTGGTCGTCACTGAGGTTGTGTAAGCAGGCAATAAGCCCTTTCCTAGTGGAGGAATAATTCCCCTTTAGGGGTAAGGATGGGTCTCTCTCCCCAGCAGAAACAGGGTTAGGCCAGCTCCCAAGGCCACAGTTGGATGTTCGGAGAGTGCCCTGGGCTGCAGATCTGATTTTCTGGAAAAGATGGCACCCCACCTCTCCTGCATGCACCAGTAGCCCCAAACCATCTAGGTATATAGGGGCTGAGCTCATGGAGTCTAGAAAGAAGGCTGGGGCCACTGCCTCTGGAGGAGCAGGGAGCTGGGGGCACAGCCCCTAGGGTATACGGGTCTTTCAAAGTCCCCTGAGTTTCAGGTTCAGCTGATGTATACACGGTGGAAGTCATGGGCACCAAAGGCCGCGTTGCACTTGGGACACTTCCTCTGGCGGGCCTCATAGCGGCCACGCACGCACTCGAAGCAGAATACGTGGAAGCACTTGGTCAGCACTGCATCCTTCTTGCGGGTGTTGCAGCAGGGGCAGGTCAAGCGTGCCTGGAGCAAACAAGAGGCAGCAGGGTTAGAGCAGCTCCGGCAGTGCCCGCGCTCCAGGCTAAGTCCACCCAGTGGCAGCTGCTTCTAATTCTGACCAGAATTCCTGAAGGTGGGAGCCGGTACAGTATGAAGGAGGAGACAGGCTCAGAGGCCAAACATTCAAAGAAGGTGGCTCACACAGCAGCCCCCGGCCTTGGGGGACCAAGGCCAGAGCAGAGCTGCAGTTTCTAGGTCAGCCTGGGCAAAACCCTGCTTCGAACACAAGACAAAACCAACCAACCAACCAAAAACATAAATCCCAAACAGAAAGCAAACCACACTAGCAATCCCCAGAGCAGCTGGCTTCCTAAGGACAGGGACCCAGGCTCAGCTCTTCCACCTCTTGCTCTATCTGCTTTTTCAGGCACAATCCCTACTGGTCTACCCTGAAGTCACTGCTGAATTTGGTAGAATATGAGAAACTACTTCTACACTCAGACCTACCCTGGAGTGACCCCCAAGATCCTGCTGTGGATGGACGTCTCTTAGCCTAACGCCTCCCAGTAACTACCATTAGGAGGCCTCGCCTTCCGCTCCAGCCAGTCACTACCTGGTGTCCGCACTGTGGGGCACGTGTCTGGTCTGTCTGGAGTCCTGGCTAGCAAGCTCCACTTCCTCAGATGACTGTTTCTCAGTCTCTCAGGACTCTACACCAGCACTAGAAAGCCTTTCAAAACTGCCATGGCTACCCTTCCCCACCCCTACCCCCAAGGCCCAACAGCTACAAAGGGGATACCTTGTTGCTAACTCTGTCACCTCCTCCACTCGGTGGCCCAGAGTTCAGGTGGTCTGACACCCTTGTTCCACCCAAGTCCACCAAGCCCTCAGGGCTGCACACGGCTCAACTCCTTTTTCTTCCTCACCTGCTCCCTCCCATGGCCACTTTCTCCCCACCCATCGACATCACTTCAGCCTGAGATTCCCAAACAGAGAAGAATGTCCCCTGCTCTTCCTCAAAGGGCAGCCAGAGGCCTGTGTGGCTTCCGACTCTGCTGCAGCTGTGGCCCCACAGAGATCACTGCTCTCCAGCCCAGCCTCTGCCTTGGGCCAAGAGGCATCGTGTTCTCAGCTGCCTGAAACCATCCCACAACCTGTTCCTAATCCACTGAAGAGTGTCTACCTAGTTTCGCTATCCGGAATTCGAGCCTCCCTGGGGTCCCTCTTCCTTCATTCTAGACACATGACCCATCCCTGAGTCCTAAGTGCTGGCTTAGCAGATCTCCATCTCTGGTGCCTTCCTTAGCTAAGTGTTAATTCCTGACCCAGTGAGCACACTGCTCCAACAACTCCCCTGCCCCACCCCCACCCCATGCAGCTGCTGTTAGCCCTACACCTGACCACTCTCTTGAATAAAG